ATGTGCTTAAACATAAGGAAAAAGATGGGAATTCAAACGGGGATATAAATCTAAGGAATGTAAATATGTTAAGGGTGATTCATAGTATTATTAGCATTAATTTACAATGTGAATGAATTTATTTGAGGCTTCGTTTCCACGACAGTATTAAATGCAGAAGTTATAGGGCAATGAAATTCATCCTGAGGTCAGATTAACCATCACCTTTCTGTTCCCAATTTTCAGCAATTAATGTGAGAATATTTCAGTTGATCGATCGTTCTGCAGCTGGACACGCATATTTGTAGTTAATTTTAATATCTCTACGTGTTGCCACAAAATGTCGTGAAAACGAAATTGCTAGTATCGAAAAGTCGAAGAGATTTATAACATGCTAACACAATTAAAGTATTTTTTGTATACAGTATTTTCTAGATGAACGATTCATCACATTACACACAAAAAATACAAAACGTTTTCCCGTACCTAAAGTGATGAGTCAGTTATCTAATCTTCAAATCGGATGTTGAGATTTCCATACATTCAGTAACTAATTTGTAAAGGCTTTATTCTGTGTACAAATCCTACATACAGCCATGAGAAATCTGTACATCTGGTAAAACAATTTCCATGCAATTTCCTCTTTATGTTAGAAAAAAAAAAAGAAAAGAAAAGTAATCTTGTATGTAAATTTCTTTTGCAGCTGTGAGAATACTGTCAGTTTTGTAAAGACCTTGTAGGCAGCTATTCTCATATTGTAATCCACATCCACCTGTTTCCAATATAAATTAATAAAAAGGATTTAATATTGGAATGTACTGTTCAATAAGTAAGCACTATATACGCATCCATTCCTGCAAAGGAATCTTTACTACTTCATTTTAATCACCGATCCAGCTTGTTATTCTGCTCTGTCATTATTTTATTCCCCAATAATTCATTTCAATCTATTCCTCGGGACTGAAATAACGATTGTGTCTCACGCGTTAATCTACACTTGGTAATAAATGCTCCCTGTAACGCTGGTATTCTTTTATATCAAAAGGACCAACAGATCCTCACCCATCCATACTAAACTACTAATAATCTTAACGAAACAGTTCCTCTTAACTAAACGTGGGAAACCAGCTTTCTTTCAATAAAGGAAGCAAGCAATATTCCTGCAAGCAATATTAATGCTTTCCCAAATGGTCTGATGTTTCCACGTAAATCTTGTAATCTTGCAACGAGCATGAACGACCAAGAGCATTGAGCGATTTCTTGTATGTCGTTGCGCATTCATTTCAAACAATAAATTTGCATTTCTGCAATACTTTCCCATGCCAAATGCTTTGGGACGGTTGCACGTGGAAGTTTCAGTGAAATGGATGTTCAATGTTAATTGAACTTCGTGTTGATTATTGTTCCGAATATTTTGTTTAATAAACCGTTCTACGAATTCGCTACCCGTGACACAATTCAAGGTTCACTTTTTACTAGCAACACTTCGTGTCGCGAAAGTT